AGAGTCTGGCAACGTGTGCTTGTCATCATAATTTTCATCCTTTGCTTTCAGCGAGTGGATAAACCATACTTGTGTTTAACAAGGTGCAGTTTTCCCATTGCAGTCATTACAGCAATCTCTTCCAAAAAATTATTGCTACATTCAGTGTTGTGTCCCACATCAAGGAAGTCAATTTCTACTTTAGGAAGGAAAGAAAATGATACCATTTGGTTGCATACTGTCATTAAAATAATACCTACTTTCGTAGGCATAGAAAGCAGCTAACTGTAGCTATCGGAATCCTTTGTGTGTGGTTACAGTGATGATAAAAATTGTGGGATTTTCGTTTTCTTTGTCCTGATTGGTTTTCTAAACAGTTTTTCTCTTGCCAGTCAAAAATGCAGCCCTCCAGATCTCCCACTGTACCCTGAGCACAACCCATTCCTTCTCATAGCTTTTTAAATCCAGTAAGGTTGGATCTGCAGGACTTGAATCATGAGGACTGCTGAATGCTGTGAGAGGGACAGGAGTGTCTGCGTGTTATCCAGCTAACAGTTGCCTTCTGAAAGAATATCCTTCCTTTTTCCTTGTGATCACAGCCTGTAGATCCTTCACTTGATGAGATCCAGCATCAGGAAATCTTGAACTGAGCACTGGCATTTCCAGAAACCTTAATTTGAATGTAATTTTGGATATCAGAGTAGCTGTATTTTGCGCTGAGTTTTCATGGAATATCAGTGGAAACAAGGAGGCTTAGGACTGTAGTTGTGCTGGTGTGGTTGTAGGGAATATTTTGTAGAGGTGTGAGTTCTGCTGTTAAATGTTTGCTGGTTGTGATGATCTGATCTTACTGAAAAAGGAGATGGATGCCCAGGTGAACCCGAGAGTTTGAAGCTCTATCTTTTTTCAACCCCAAATTTAGGCTTCCACGCATATACAGCATGATAGGGGTTTGGAAACAGAACGCATTTGCTTTCAGTATGGTACCTTTGACTAGCAGAACCAAGGGTGTTCCAGCACAGCTGATTTAAGGCAGTTACCCTAACTAAGGCAAATAAAGAGTGGTAGCTATGTGCTGGGCTCAGATGCTTCAGGAGACAGCAGAACAGGGATTTGTATAGGGACTATTATTGGTGAAATGTAGGAAAGCAAGGTTGACACAAGGCTGTGGGATTTTTTGGGAAAGATCTGTGTTGCACCACAGATTCTGAGAGCTGAGGATCCAGCCATAAGTGAATAAATAAAAATAAACAATGATAATGCTGCCTGCTGAGGATATTAGGCTCATTGCCAACACCGAGCCAGACAGCTGCCGAGGGTCACATCCCAAGAGCACTTGGCCCGGGAGAAGACTCAAGGTGGTCAACAGGCACTCACAGCCCTGATCTTTCTGTTTTTTGGGTCCCTGGGAATGCACTGACCTTTGCAATCGCAGTCCCAGCACCCGGCCTTTGCTGCACACCCACATACAGGACTGCAGAATAAGCCTCTTTGCTTTCTCTCATACTGTTTTGGGAGAGCATGCTTACTTTATTGGGTTTTTGTTTGTTGGCTTTCTATTACCAAGGCCATTCTTGTGCAAATGAGGTCATAGTTTGGTAGTCTACTTGCTCCTTCTGTTTGCGCCTCATCTGCAGACCTAATCCACTCTTCCTAATAGTCATTTTGGTTGCTATAGCAATGATAAAGTGTTATGAAAAAGTCAGGATGATACTTAAATGTATGGCTGGTATTACCTTTTTCTTTCTCCCTCCTGGGAAAGAGAAACTAAATAACAAGGATTTTTTTGGTATATTATTGTTTTATCTAAAGCTTTAACTGTAGGCTTCTTGGAGCCTAGATGCAGTCCTTCTCTCTTAGCACCCTTTTAGGCTGGGAATGTTGCTGCTCAAAAGCAATTAGGGAGAAATGAGCCCAAATTTATGGATACAGGGTACATATCATTTGTTTTTAAGATGCCAAAGATGTTGTTTTTAAGATGCTAAAGTTACAGTTATTGTGACATGCAGAGAGTATGAAGTTTGCCAGCCCACCATGATGGAAACCTACTACAGAGTGCTTGGGGCCCAGCTGGGTTTCTGAAAGTATTGAAAGGTAGCTGAACATGTTAGCAGTGAGTTTGCTTTGGATTTGCACCAGCTGAATTACAAGAGAATTACTCAGCACTGCCATTGAAGGTGGCTTCCTGATCAGTAAATAAAAAATCTAACGTAGTCAAGGGAGAGAAAGGCAGAAGATGCATTACTTTTGCTCAGTAGCTGCATACAGGAATGGGTGGCTGTTGTACCAGGCCCTGTCCTTCACATACGTGAGAGAGCAAAAACGACCTGCTTATTCTGGATTTTCAACCTTTTTTGCCAAGTTTATCTTCAGAATCATGTATCTGTATTAAAAATTACCAGAAACTATCTAGTTTTTGACGGCCAGAAAGAGCAGTATTTGTGTGAATTCAGCTCACTTCCAAGTCCACCACACTGACAAATGTAGGCGAGCAAAGCATTAAGTGCTGACACAGATTGATCCCTTCTGTCTTGTCACAGGCCATTCCTCATGCAAAACAGCTTGACCTGCCCAGCCATGGTGGGATCAGCTCAGCTTGTTCCTGCCTGCTTGGGTTCACTAGACCAGATCAGACCGCAGATATATTGAGTGAGATGCTCTTTCTGGCAGTTGGCATTTAAAAGCGCCTCAAGCTAAAGTGCTCAAAACCCCACTGTGGGTATATTCTTCATATCAAATCTCATCGAGACTGAGCTGGAGATTGGGTTAAATCTCAGATGGGAGGATTATATCACTTCTGAGTTTATGGCTGGCATTAACTCTGGACATTCTCATTACCTATATAAAAGTGAGCCCCTTTTTGAATCTTTTATGACCCAGCTTGATTAAAAGTGGGATGAAAGCAGAAACAATTTTAATGGACTTAGAACTCACTGGTATAAAACTAGTGGAAAAAAAGAAATGATTCCTACAGTCCCTCATTCCAGATGTATGTGAGATTGATAGAAAACACATTACCATAAAGAAAGAATTGACTCGTTTACCTGTTAGTTACATTCAAGGTTCCTTAGTTAAGCATTCATATAATGTTTTCTTACAGGAGACAGCTTTGTTTCCTTATTTCCAAACACAGCAGCTCATCTTGCTTTCCATCAGCATAGACAAAAATATCAGGTGAGAGAAAACAAGTCTTTTTTTTCCAGCTGCATGTGTTGAGGAGCCTCCCTGGCATGCAGCCCCCATACAGCACCGCCTTCTACTTTGTCCTGTGCTCAAAAGACCGATTAAGTGATCTGCTAATGCCATATGCCAGGGGCTAGGAAGGGCTGGGGGTGATGAGGGAGAGATAAGACTCCTCTACCTCTGCAGACACAGAAAAGTGCCATCCCAGGCCTACATACAAGCACTGCAGGAGGCAGCTCTGGAGGCCTCCACCTAGCCTTAGGTTTGGCCAGTTTTTGCCTTTCTGTAAATAATTATAAGGTTTGAGCTTTCGGAGAACTCCCCACTAAGGGAGCCTTGAGGATTATATATCCTCAGCAACTCCATCCAAAAAAAAAAAAAGAATGCAAAGGAAAGAAAAATCAGGTAATGAGTTGCAGAGAAGAAGAGATTGTACCCAGTGCCCTACATGCCTTGCAAAGACAGCCTTCGCCACAGCACAGGGCCACCTCCTCCACACCTAAAAGCGGCAGATGGGGTCTCCATGCCCCAGATATTGGCAAAGGCATTTATGCCAGGGTTACTGGGCTTGAGGACTGGCTTTTCAGTTACTTGTTTGGGTTGAGGCTATCAGATGTTAGTGACAGCCAGGTCACCTGAACCCTCTGACAGTCCTGTCCTAGCTAGCTCTAGTTGCCCCACCAATTACTTACTTTCCTGGTGTTTTGTCTTAACAGTTTATTCCTGGAGGTTAAAAACCGTGGTTGCCCTTGAGTATTCCTGTTCTAGATCTCTACTGATGGCAGTGAGAATGGCCCTGAGGGCAAGCTTTTGAATTCAGCCATATCTTTGGATACTAGAAGAGATTCAAAGCAAGGGCTTAAGGCTTTTTTTCATCCTGTAGGTATCTAAAAGGTGGTTGGGCAGACTTTGTTTCATAGGTTGATGCCTGTGATAGGAATCAAGGTAGGTCTTGGCAGCTGCCTACCAAGCTGTGATGATCCTGAAAAACTCAAGTCCAGAGGCCTGCATCTCCTAGAGATAAACCAAAGAGCCAAAGACAACTGCTGTCTGAGAGCTTGGAAGCGGCAACAAAGAGATCCAAGAATGGGGAAACAAGGTGTTTGTGGGGCACACAGAGAGCCTTGAAACATTTATCTCTGTGGCCACTCTCATTCCTGATAGAAATGCCTGATGGAGCTGCAGTGCTCTCGCCTTCAAGGATGGATTTTGGTGGTTGTGGATGTTCTTGATGGTGGTGTCAGAGAAGCTGCTGAAGTGAAACTTGCCCTCAGACATGAGGAACAGCTGCTCTCTGATAAATGCTGAGAGCCTTTGGAGAGGCTGCATTCTCCATCCTTTCTCTTTAATTCTGCTTTTTTGATTTTAGATGTGTTGCAAAGGACTGGTAAAAGAGATTCTAGCACATAGTGGGAGTTGAATGTGCTGTTGTCTGTTAGTCATTATATATATTTTTTTTATTCATTTGGCACTTTCCGGAGAGTTTTTCCCCCCCACATTGTGTAGGCTGCCATCTTTCTTTCTTTCTTTCTTTGTAGCAAGCATGTGGGCGCAGCCTTGCTTACACTCCGAGCGACTGGGAAACCACCATAAATGTAGCTTATCCGCTTTCTGATACATTTTCTTTTGCATTGGTTTGGATTTGTGCATCGTCAGTAACATCTGTTCTGCTTTAGTGGCATACAGTTTTCCGAGTCTAATTAGCTGGCTGCTTGTAATCAGGACTATTTCAACTGTTGTCATTCTAAATGTTCTTTTTCCCTTTTTTTTAATACCACATTTGCCTGATTGACCTTTTTTGTTGTTTTTTTCTCTGTCTTTCTATCGGGCTGCTCCAGGAGCCATGGCTAATCATCTTATAACCAATGCTCTGCTTCGTCCTCATGGCACTAACAACCCTTATAATACATTGCTCGGGGAATCGGCGGTCTATAACAACCCTTCTGTCAGCATGTACAACGCACAAGGTGTGCTGGAGTTTCTCTCTAATTTTTCTAGTGAGAATTCCATTTTCTGTGGCTTATTTTGGCCCATTTCTTTCTTTTTTTTTCTTCCTTTTTTCTTTTTCTCTCCCCACGCACACACACTTTTTTTTTTTTGAACTGGGCACAAAAAAAGATCTCCTCCCCTTCCTTTCATTTCAATGCATCTTTCCATCTTCCAGATGCTATTTTTCCATGAGCGATCAAATCCACTTTGAAAGACTCTCGTCAGTTTTACTCAAAGCATTCACAGTGGTTTGATTTTTATTTTTTTTCCAGTCTCCTTGCTTTTTTATTGTTTTGGTCTTGTGTGTGTGTGTTTTGTTGAATGCATCCATTCCTCTCTTTGTTGTCAGCACATTTTCTTGTCAAACCATTCATTTCAGAAACAGGAACACCTTTGAAGGTAAGTGAAGCTAAAATGGCCTTTGCCACCAAAGCTGCTCTTGTTTGAAATGGCATAGAGAAACGTGGTCAGCGGTGCACTGGCTTGTGCAGGGAGAAAAACGCAAAATAAAACAAAACTGCCCTTGATCTCTAAGAAAAATGACAGCTGAAGCAAGGAGTGTAGGTCAGCTCCAAAGAGCAGAGCTGAGATATTATAAGAAATGTTTTGCCGTTTGCAGTAATACATTTTATATGTGCTATTAGGAAAAAAAAAAAAATAGAAAAAAGGTGTAGGGAAACTAGATGCTCTTTGATATCCTCCTTTTGGCAACAGAAAATAAACAGGCAGAGTCAGTTGTACCTAACATAGGTTTCTGCTATAGAAATCACTCTCTTGTCATCTACATGTTTGTCTCTGCTCTGTCTGTGGGAAGGGACAGTGTTTGTAAGCTGATGTCCTGATGCTTCTGTGAGGGAGAGGCAGAAGCGTTTAAGCAGGACCTGAGGAGGAGCTGGGGAGCATGGAGCTCTGACAGCTCCTGTCTGTCAGTGGCTGCATCCTGCTCTACCACTTCCATGGGATTTTTATTTTTTTTTGTCTTACTTGTAAGGTGGCTGAATCACTGCAGAGTAACACTGTGTTCAAGCGCAAGTGTGTCAGCACTCTGTCAGCTCTCTGTTCCCAATGAAGGCATCACATTCCAGTAAAGAATCTCCAAGGAAGGGAAAACAATGATGGTTGTAATGCAAGCAGGAAAATCCCTTTTGTACTATATGGCAGTATATTGTTATGACAGTAATAGATGTTGAACTGTATCACTAGAGTATTTGCATTCAAAGCACAAGAAAAGCACACGTGTTTGACCTTTTTGCTGTTCATCAATTTCCTTAACTATGCTAAGTTTGTGCCATAAATTTGCTTCCAAGAATGCTTTTTTAAAAAAAGAGCTACTGTTAAGCATGAAATGCTCTAGATTTTAAGGACTTAAGTGTACCGCAAATGTCAAAATGAGCTTTGATGTTCTGACTAGTTTCTTACATGATAACTTTGAGGTGTGGGAGACTTTTAAATCAAATGGCAGCAGGTAATGTGGGTCTTTAGCATGTGGCTTAAGAAAAGTCCTGATGTTCAGGTCTGGGTGTCTCAGCTGAATCCAAGTGATTTGGGCAGAAAAGTGACAGAAAGGTTTTATGTGTATTTTAATAATCATGTGTTCTTCTAATTTTTAATACTAGCTTCTGATACAGTTACCTAAGCTAACAGCATTTTATTCCACAAAAATAGGGTCATTGTTTTACAAGTGCTATTCTGTTCAACACAGCTATATGAGTAACAGAGAAACCTATCCAGGCTTCATTCATGGGAAGTGAAGAGAGTGGACCAATACTGGTCCCATTTAAGCCCCTGGAACTCTGCCATTGACTTCAGAGGGAGCAGAACTGGTGTAGCTATTGCTTTTCAAACTGGTTACTGTCCCCGGACAATTAAAAACTGTGAATATTAGGAGCTCTCACAGCAGAAATGAAGGTTAGCAAAATCAACCAGGCCTAATGGCCTTGGGGGTCCTTTGGGATTTCCAGATGCTGCACCAGCAGGCATGCTAAAGTGGTGATAGTGCATTGTAAAAGTAGATGCTGTCATCATCTCTGGGTGTACCTTGGCTGTGGTTGGCATGCGATGATTATCAGTAAATTAATTTATTAATCATTAGCTAACATCATCCAGCTAACTCATTCTACATTACTAAGGCTATGATTATTTCTGCACCTTCATATACCACTTCTGGTCTGCCCATGGACAAGGCAGGACACTGTCAAGAAATGGGATTGAACTGCTCCACCCATTTCTTTCCCCCTCCCCAGATATGTGTTTCAAAATCTGATCTTTGTGTAAGCTGAAGCTGCCACCTCTGTGGTAAAGAATCACTAGGAGCAGGAAGTTCTAAAAAAAATACCCTTGGAAAGAGGTGGAGAATCAGACCCTAAAAGGCCAAAGTCCTATTTCCCAGTGGCATAAGCGATTGCTTGATAGGACACACAGCACAGAGGAAAGAGGAGGTGGTAGGTGAGGGGCTGAGTGCTCACTGCCATTGGAAGCTGATGGACACACACTGGCAGGGTCTCTCCAACACAGGAGTTTCTATAAATGGCCCAACAGCTTTTGTGAGAACTAATTTTGAGATAAGGCATTAACAAACATTAATGAGCATTAACGAGCTCTAGTTAAAACCCAGTGTACCACAGACCACTGCAAAGTGGGAAGCTGAGCGTTAGCACTGTCTCTTCATCTTAATCTCTTGCTCTTCTTGTTTTAAGCCTTTCTTTTCTGTAGCCTCATTTAGCAATGCCATTATTCAAACTACTATTCCTCTTACTTTTTTTTTTTTTGCAAAGTCCATGTAGTTTGCCATGTGTTTGGTTAAAATAAAATCCAGACTTACCAAAGTCTGTACAATGCCAGCAGCCCTATGATGAACAAAGTCATACTCTAACAAACCACTCTTACAAAGGATGGACGGCAAAACATTTTTAGCAAGGAAACAGATTTCAGTTTCAACTGCCAGGGGTTATTATAACTAACAGTAAGTAAAGCCATTCATTTTAAGACTTTGGAAGTGACTATGACAGTGCCTGTCTTTTCAAGCATGACCGTTACGAGCTTTAGGCTTTTCTTAAATTTCCAGGCATTATTTCTTCATTTGTGTTGCACGCTGAACATTTTATAATGGCATTGGAAAACGGTTTAAATGTGATAATTTTTAAAATAAAAATGTAGTCTATTGAATATTGCGCGTAAAATATTTTTTTCTGTCTAAAATGTCAATATTTTTAACCTGAAATAAACCTTGTAACAAATTCATGTATTCTGGGCAGTGGAAATTATTTCTGTTAACTCTCTTTTCTGCATATCATCAATTTGCTTTTTACTCATGTTTCTCCTACTGTCGCTGTAAGCTTACTTGTTGTTTTTTCTTTCCTTTTCTTCATGCTGTCGTTTAGAGCCCTACAGAGAGACAAGTATGGGAGTAAAGCTAAACATTGCATATCAAATGTAATTTTTTTTAGTTCACTTTTATTGCATCACATATAGATGATGTAGTTAATAAAGGAAATTAATCTCACAGTTTTGAAATCAAAAGAATATGAATATACATATGTATATATGTGTATGCGTGTGTATGTACGTATGTGTATATATATATATGTATGCGTACATATATATATAGATGAGATTAGATGATGCTTTCTTTGTTTATTTTTCATTTTTGTGATATCATTTACCCAGTGTAGTATCTCATATAGTTGTGTGTATGATATTTTTTTAAACTTCACATTTTTATTTGCGAGGTCATGGCATTTTTATACGGCGTGTTTTACTGCAAACCCCACTCTGTTCTCACCTGCAATGCCTCCATTTTATTTCTGCACCAAACCCCAGATCTATGCATTGGCAGCAGAAGCGCAGTGCTCAGTGCCTCAATGCATATGTTACTCAACGTAACCATCAAACAGATGCTGTTGTACCTGTCACCCATTACATACGGTCCTCCCCCCAAAATGCTCACTTTTCATTTCTCCCCAAGCATCGTGACTCAGTTGGAGAGCTTTCACCGTGAAAATCAACGGCTTTGCTCTATATCTGTGATGGCTAGTTGATTTTTTGGCATAGCTCCCTCATTTGCTGGGGAACACAGGATACAGCAGCACCCTCTAAACTTCAGAAACCTAAATGGTGACCAACACATTTGGGGCATTTCACTCAAAAGCAAGAAGCCTTCAGTAGTGCTTTCCAGCCCCTGACATACAGCAACTACTCCATCACAGATATAGACCGAGTCCTGTATTTTCAGAAGGTACACATGCCATGTACTCAGCATGGTATGAGCAACTGTTCATCTGAAATTGTCAGTTTAATGGCTTTTCTGATCTACCATGGCTTGCTGGGAGTTGCTTGCCAGTTTTGGGCGATGCCCAAAGCCCTTAGTGGAAAGGTCGATAAGTTATTTCATGCCCCCCCACTCCTTTACTCCTTCCAAGGAGGCCAGTAGTCCCAAAAAAGAAAACGTGGTAGCTTAACTGCTGGGCCTGATTTTCTTCTCCCTTGCCCACTCATGCTGGCATTGCTCTCAAAGCACTTCTCCATCTCCTGTAGTGCTTTGGGAAAGAGCCGAGCTCCAGCCTTACGTTGTCGGTGTTGAGACACCTTTGGAGATGTGATGGGCAGTTAGATTGAGGGCACCCTGATACCCTGTTACTCCTCGCAGGTTCCCCTGAGCCTGCCATAACATGTCAGTGATTGTACTTGCTGTACCCTCCACTGAATCCTCTGCTTTAACTTTGCAAGTGGAATAGGAGCTATTTTTAAAGGCTTCACAAGACCCCAGAACAGCCGCCTCCAACATCAATTATATTAGAAAATCCCCACCTGGCCAGTGTGGAGTAAATAATTTTGGTTGTGCCCTTGTGGCAGAATACGTAGGGCATTTAGCCTTCTTCCAAAAAAGCCTGGGATAGGAAGCATTTTGTGCCTCCACCTTTCTGATCCCTGAATCCCTTCATTCAGGCCTTATGTCTTTACCCTGACAGCTTCCTCAGCA